TTAAAGTAAACTGTAAAATACAGGATGTCCTACACAACCATAATCTCACCCCAATCAATCTTAATATGCAAGTATACACAGCAGATGCATTCACCAAATGCAATAACATCCAAAAGATCAAAAACATATAAACATACACCACCCCTTGACACCTGAAGAAGAAGAAAAAAAAAAAAAAAGTATGGAAGAAGAAACCGGGGGGGGAGGGGGGGGATAGAATAATCTCCAATTTGAAAGCAAAACAGGGGGCTTCATAGTTGCATTTTGATGCCCAGAGACAAAAGCAAATGAAGCTTTTGAACAAGGCTGGAAATGTCTGAAAAGTCAATTTCCTTGCCCAATCAGCTGCCGTCAGAATCCCTGCAAATTAACCACCCATGTCCATTGCAGCTGACGCCAAATCACTTTGTACCGGGTGAACATCAAAGGAGCAGTATACACCAGCGAGGTGAAGGATCCATTTTGCTCATCGAGCTATGGTGGAAGTAGAGACTGGTTTAAAGGTACATACATATGAGATTGAGAGTTGGCCACGAGTCGAGGAGCGCAACGATGATGTCGGCAAAATATAGCACTTTAGTCTGTGAGCCATGCATATACGTGGTGTGTATATGGAAAATACGGGTACGAGACAGAAGACAAGTTAGATTTGACTTTACAAAATATTGTAAAAGACATAACCAACCAAAAGGCATGGGAGGCCTAACCAGGCGTATCCCACAAAGTAGTCGACAAGCTGTGGGGTCTCTCCCCACCCCAGAGCATTGAAGAGGAACATGAGTTGCTGAAATAGCTGAACTAAACATGTAAATTGTCCTTTAGGACCTAACTTGAGAGAAGAGGTGAGGAATTAAATTTAAGATGGCTACAACAGACGATGTGAAATAATCCAAATGTCTTCTCAGATGCCAGCTATACTATGTTTTTCAGGCATGTAGGTAAGATTTTCTGGAGCTCAAGAAACCCAGAGCAAGTCCTGAGCGATTGACAGTAGACCTGACATATTCCATGATACCCAAAAAAGATCCAGGCCACCAGAGTAAGGCAATCTGGCTAGATCAACAGGTAAGAATTCCTCTCCGAATCCAGAATGAGTGGCTTGCTGCAATTCCAGTGCTAGCAGGATTGTCACGCACTATTGCTTCAGAAGATAAAGAGCCCACAGGATCAGGGAGGATGGCGGAAATTAATATGCTCCCGATGGAGGCCACCTCTGCAGGAAGCATCCACTGCAAAGCAGAGAGGATCAAACAGCTAGCTGAAAAAGTCTTCCATTGGGCGATTCAGGAGGCAAAAAATTTCCAATCCGCCAGCCTCTCTCCAGTGACAGGTGAACCAATTAACAAGATTGTCCTGGCCTGGGATTAATTCCGCCCTGATGGAGAGATGTTTGTCTAGGCAGTACTATTAGAGGTCCCTAGTGAGTTATACCAGAAGCTTTAAACAAGAGCCACTAAGGCGGTTTATGTAGCGGACCACCAACATATTTTTTTTTATCCAGAGAGCAGTGGGTCGTCTTTCGTGAAGCTGAGAATAACAAAGAATACTGCAATCCGTTACCGACAATTGATGTGCGGGTTTTATTCATTTGGGATCCAGATACCTCACATCCCCTAGCCCATGTTGCATGGAGTGAAGGGGGGGGGGGGGTGCCTGTTCACATGCTGCAGACACTGCACATTTTAAAGAAGCAGTTTCTAAAAGCCCTTGTAGCCTCCAGCCAGCCATAATCTATCCTCACCTTTACGTTGAGCTTTTTCAAAGGTTAGTCTTCAGTTAGTTCATCATTAGCCAACTATACTTTTCATCCTTTCTGTTGTCCTTTGCTAATAGTTGACTAAATACTTGTAAGTTGACTAATATTTATTAAAGCTAAATGTCTCAAACGGTTTTGTTTTATTTAAAATTTCCTCATACAACAACAGGTTTGTTGCACTGTTATGGGTGAGAAAGCCAGAGAATATGACCCCCACCCCTTTTTTTTCTTTTAAATAAATATGAACATAACATTCTGGCTCTGAATACAGATGTGTATATTGATTTGACATAGCTCTTTCTCTAGAAGTTGAAAACACCCCAATTAATTGTTTTAATATGTTCTAATTAGGGGAATCTTGCTGCTGTCACAGAAAAAGAAGAAAAGGTAACTGTGATTCATGGACAGGAAAATGTATTTACTATTCCTACAGTCAGCCCCCAAACACAAATGGTACTTAAAGGACTATTTATGGTGCTCGATTATCTTTTTCGACAGAACAGCAGGTTTGTTTTAAAAATTACTATATAAATAAATAAAATACAATTTATTGTATGTTCTTGTTCAAATTGTGTGTCGCATGATAACTGGATTATTGTATAATGAGGAGTTATTACGGTTTATTTACCAAGGTAGCTTAATGTTAAAGGGACATTGTCCCTACCACACAGCATACATTTTTGCTATTCAGCGAAAACACAATGTTTAAAGAGTAACCTGTCCATTGATTGCCTTTTATTTGAAACCTCATTAAAATAAAAAAATCTCTTTGAAAGATTTGCAGACGATTACAGAATTGCCCTGCAGCAGTCCTACACCTGGGGAAACAAGCAGGATATTATTGATGAAAATGGCTTCTTTGCAAGACCTAGAAACAGAAGAAATGCGAGACAGAAGACACTGGTCTATACCCTGAATTTCTGGTGCCTCAATCCAGCTGTGGTAACTTTTACTTCATTAATGTTGGAATTGCTCTGTATTTGGGAAATAAACATTACAATGCCAAATTTAAATGCCAGCAGGAACTGGGTACCTTTGCTTGGTATTCTTTGGCATGGAGTTGTTACTGGGGACACTTGATAACATACCAGCATTGCTTACCTCAGACAATCCTCCATTCAGTAGCATTAGAATGGTACCTTCTACCTGCCCAAATATAAAATACCCTACCTATCCTACACCATTACTGTAATAATAGTGATGGGGGGCATTAACTTCTTTCAGTTAAGGTGTGTGTTTGTGTATATACATGTGTATAAAAATTTTAAAAAAATTATTTTTTTTTACCATAAGACCTTTTTTTTTCTTTCTTAAAATTAATATCTAACATGACCGCATTTACTTATGGGTTAGCTCTAGAGTTGAGCGAACCTGAACTGAAATGTTCGGGTTCGTACCGAACATTAGGTTTTTTGGACCCCGAACATGGACATATCAGTATATGTTTGGGTTGGAGTTCGGTGTTCGACGATTTAATGGCGCATTTTCAAAGGCTGCAGGGCAGCCAATCAACAAGCGTTTGACTCGTGTGCCCTTAGAAGCCATCACAGCCATGCCTACTAATGGCATGGCTGTGATTGGCCAGTGCAGCATGTGACCCAGCCTCTATATATAAGCTGTAGTTGCGTAGCGCCGCACGCATATGCGGTCTTATTAGTGTAGGGAGAGGATTCTGCCGCTGATAGGGACAGCTTAGGAAAGAATTCTGCAAACTAGTACATTAGTGGGGTGGGGTTGCACTTCATACCTGAGAGTCAAATAGAATTTTCAAATACCGCAGTTACATCGGAGTTTTAAAAAGTAATTTTTATTTTGGTGCTAAATAGTACATTAGTGGGGTGTACTTCATATCTGAGAGTCAAATAGAATCGTCAAATACTGCTGTCACATTGCAGTTTTAAAACTTAAAATGTTTTGGGTGCTAAAAAGTACATTAGTGGGGTGCACTTCATATCTGAGAGTTAAATAGAAGTGTCTAATAGTGCGCTTACTGCGCAGTGGTAAACATTCTAACTGTTTTGCTTCTAAACTGCTAAATAGTACGTTTTGGGGCCTGTTCTTCATATGTGAGCGTCAAATCGAAGCATCTAATAGTGTGCTTACTGCGCTCTTGTAAACATTCTAATTGTTTTGCTGCTAATCTGCTAAATAGTAAGTTTTGGGGCCTGTTCTTCATATGTGAGAGTCAAATCGAAGCGTCTAATAGTGTGCTTATTGCGCACTTGTAAACATTGTAATTGTTTTGCTGCTAATCTGCTTACATTGGAGTTTCAAAAAGTCAATATTTTTTTTGGGCGGGGGGGCGCTAAATAGTATACTTCATATCTGAGAGTCAAATTGAAGCGTAACTTTGACTTGAATTTACTACATTGGTCACTTGTAATATTGTTTCACACCTAAAACACTTAACAGATATTTTCTACACTAGAAACTACCAGATATCAAGCTGCTATATTTAAACCAGTGATCAATAGCTAAGAGGTACTTCAACAATACTGTAATTCTGGGACAATACCCTCACAAGTCAAACCGAGAGGTCTGTTTATAGGGAAAACTGTTGCCTGGAGGAAATTCTAAAACAATTTCCATATGTCCTTTGCAGACTTTACATGCTGGAAAAACACAGGTGCCAACTGCTGTGGCTTTCTGCAGTGTGCATACTGGCAAGGAGGGCAGAGTTGAGGAGTGGGTGGAAGATGATGTGGAGGATGATAAGGTTCTAGACCCCACATGGAATCAAGGTCATGCAAATGATGTGTGCAGTTTGGAGGAAGAGGTGCTGGTCGCACAGAGGCACCAGCACAGCATAAGAGGGAGCAGGGTGCAAAAGCGGAGCGGCCGTCCCCTAGCGCTCATCGGCATGTATTAGCTCAAGAATTACCAGTTATCCAAGTATTACATGTAGCGATCAAAGGATCCATAATAGAGTTGAGCAACCTGAACTGCAAAGTTCTGGTTTGTACCAGTTTTAACGATCCATTCGTAGTTTCACAGTGAGGTGGGCAGTCCGGTGACCAGGACCCAGACACTGTCTGGGCGGCGGTCGGATGACCGGGACCCAGTATGTCTGATGTTGAAGTTAGGAGTCACAGTGTGGAATGGAGTAGCAGGGTCTGGTGCAGGGTAACCGCACGCCCCCTGGTGTTGAGCACCAGCGTTTGTGTGGCCACATACCAGGACCCTGATGCATCTTCAGTAAAAAGAGTACTTGATACCAGAAGCCATCACCAGACTGATGCGCAACTTGGAACAGGATGTGACATTCACTGTAGCGGCTGTGCGCGCTTTTGGCGATAGCAGAGTTTCAGCTGCAGCACGCACGGGTCAGTGGCTCTGCACCAGACTTCCCTCCAATTGATCAGAGTTAAAGGATTTCAAGTGGACTCGTTACAATTACAGGGGCTCTAAAGAGTCCTGTATTATTTGTCGTTACTACCTTCCAGCGTCGGAAGTGGATCATTTGCGTGCCTTCTGCCTTCCTTGTATGTGGTAGCCGTTTCTCAGGGTCCCTGTATATATAGTGTTGGCTACCTCATCCTCCTCCACCGCCACAGTCACCGCCTCCTCAACCTTTGGGTCACTTAGTATAAACTAGGTACACATTAGCAGAGGCATGTGAAGGCAATTTCTCCATGCATCAGGACTGCAAGAAATGCACCGCAGGCCGCAATTGTTTTTTTTTTTTTTTATATGTCCCAATATTTTGGGAGCTACACCAATTAAAATGATATATATATCATATATATGTATGTATGTGTGTGTATGTGTGTATATATATAATAAAAAGCAGTGTTGGCTACCTCCTCCTCCACCACCGCTTCCACCTACACCGCCACGGTCACTGCCTCCTCAACCTATGGGTCACTTAGTATAAACTATGTACACAATAGCAGAGGCTTGTGAAGGCCTCTTCTCCATGCATCAGGAGTTGAGCTCAGTTTGAACAATGAAAGAGAATACCCTGCACTCCAACCCTCTCTCAAATGGATAATTCTGGTGATCCTCCTGACAGCCATGCTCTAGATTTTGATTTTTGTTCTTCCAAAGCTAAAATCAAAGATTCCATCTAGTGCTATTTCATGGCTCGGCTGTATTTTTAAAGTTTTTGTTATTGTAAGTGATTTCCCTATCCACATTTGTTTGCAGGGCACTTGGCCTACTCTTACCCCCATTTTACCTGCTTTTGCAGTTCTCTAGCTCTTTCAAGAAGTTTTTAGAGGGATTTTTGTGGCCAAAAGTTCGGCCAAACCCGCCAGACCTGAACATCCAGGTGTCCGCTCAACTCTAGTTAGCTCCTCCCCTCACAGCAGAAATGACAGGAAATAGAACTCTGAAATTGGTATAAATAGATCCTCCCCTCCCCATCAGGGAGTCTTTTTTTTCCTGTCCTTTTCAGCAGTTTGGAATGAGTCTGCGTTAGCAGACCTAGATTTTATTCTATGCTCACCAGGCCAATATTTTTGAAAGTCTATCTAGGTCTATTTTTACACCATCCTTCACTGATGTGTATGGAAGCCTATAGTTTAAACAGTTTAGGTTGTCAGTTGTTCAAATCTCCATTTGCTGCTAAAATACAGTCCTGCAGGGGTATCAGCTACACCTCACTGACAAGGCCGAGAGAAGGCTGAAACGATCGTATGGGGTTGCTGTATCTTTAGTGCACAGAGAACTTGCTTGCATTTTGGTTCTGGACTACGCGTACGTGTGGGATCAGTCTGATATGTTTCAGAATATGTTCTCTCAGTAATGGCACAAGTGAGCAAAAACTATTTGGAGACCTGAGCGGTGATTTACCAAAGGGCAAACTACTGAGTTCCTCTAAGCTTTTATTCTCTCCGAGTTCTCTTATCCTTTGTTTTTACAGCAGTTCACCTGACCCTGTCTGTTTAGTTTGTTTTCCCATCTTAAGTAAGTACATTTAGTAGTTTAGATTAAAGACTGGTCTAAGTAGCTGGGTTTCTGTTCTTTCAGTTCCTCCAACTGGTTTACATTTCAGCTTCCTTCTAACAAATAGGTCACATTTAGGTTATGCTGTATACTATATACTTCTAGAGAACAGTTGGATTTTCACTTTAATTTCTCTTTGCTGCTTGATAGTTTTCATTCAGCAGTGTGTGGAATTTCAGGGCTTATTCCAGCCTTTTGACAAGGTTTTGATTAGAAAGTGCCATCCATTGAGTATTTCCTCTACTTACGGTAGTTTCTTTTCATGATCATTATACATGGAAGCATTATGTGCCCACCCATCTACCATGTGAGTTGTAAAGTTAATTACAAAGACTGCCTGATGAGGAAGGAGTGGATCTTTTTACATTATTAGTATTTATATAGCGCCAACTAATTCTGCTGTGCTTTACAATATTATGAAAGGAGGGAAATTTAACAATAAATGAGACATTTTACAAAATTATACAGTAACAATAGGTAGATGAGGATCCTGCTCAAACGAGCTTACAGTCTAGAGGACCAATTTCAGACTTCTATTTCCTGTTCTTCTTGCTGTGAGGTGAGGAGCCAGCCCATAAGTAAATGCTGCCGTGTATAATGATCAGGAAAGAAAATTATGGTAAATGTCAAACCATTTTCCTTATTCTTCAGCTGCCAAAAAAAAAAAAATGAACTCCTGTCGCAAACGGTAAACTGACAATAAACATATATACATACAAAGTAGGTGGAGTATCTTGGTTCTTTGATGTAAAATAACATATACTATAAAATGAGAACTGTAACGACAGAGAAAATAAACAAAATCTAGTGCAGTACCATAAAGTACATAAATAGCTTTACATTTAAAGCTATTTATGTACTTTATGGTACTGTACTAGATTTTGTTTATTTTCTCTGTCGTTACAGTTCTCATTTTATAGTATATGTTTTTTACATCAACGAACCAAGATACTCCACCTACTTTGTATGTATATATGTGGATAGAGAGGTTACCACATAGGTGTTTTTGAGTTACTTGGTGACTGTTGGAGTCACTCGCTGAAACTGTATCTATATTACATTGTGTTTTGACAATAAACATAATCTGTTTTAATTAAATCAAGTTCTAAGTAGATGTGGAATAAATTTGGCAAGCCTGTTGTCAAATCACCTCAATGTTTTGTGTGAGTGGAATATAAATGAGGATAACAATCCAGGGTTATTCACTAAAGTGAGATTTTAAATTTCAAATTGAAGGTCAAAACAGCTGAACTAGAAAAAGTCTCTAAGATGGCTTTGTATCCTGGCCCTAAAATTGAAATTCACTTTGAATTGTCACTTCAGTAAATAACCCTGATAGTCTTTTCATAATATCCATTTTATAAAGCAAGATAACCTTTTATAAAAAGCACCTCTAGCTGTCAAAGTAATATTGTAGAGGGAATTTACAAATCTTAAAGGGAAACTATAGTGCAAGTTTTTTCCTGGCATTCTAGCTCCCTAAAGAGCGCCCTCCCCCCTCTGGTACCTGTGCTGCAGAAGTTGTTAAATACATCTTGTTTGTCTTAGCTGATTCCAGCGCCGATGTCCCTCGACGCTTGCTCGGGCTCCACATTCTCTCCTCCCCTGCTGCTCCTCCCCCGCGGACGTCAGCCGGCCAGGAAGACCTAATGCATGTGAGCGGCAATGGCTGCACTCGCACTAGTTCTTCCCCCATAGGAAAGCATTATGTAATGCTTTCCTATTAGATTTCGGGTGATGCTGGATGTCCTCATAAATAGTACGAGGACGTCCAGCGGCATGCGACCAAAAGTCGCCTAACGACCCGGAACTCCCTCTAATAGACAACCACTAGACATGAGGTTAACCCACAAAGTTTCTTAAAAATTGCAATAATTACCTTTGCAGGTTTAAGAGACCTGGGAATATACACCTAGACTACTTCAATGAGCTAAAGTGGTCTGGGTACAAATAGTGTCCCTTTAACTGCCTTACTCCTGACTAAAAGACCTCTTCCATTTCTAAAATCCAGAATTTCAAGGCTTAAAAATTTAAAGACCTGGTCAATGTTTGATGACAAGCTGCATTGGAAGCTTAATAAGTTTCAGATAAATTGGCTTTCAGGAGACAGTGTGTGTAATCTCTACGTTAAGGGGCATCATCCACAGGGCGTAATTTCCATCTGTTTTAGTTCTTGTGCCAGAGTTAAGTGAACTGTGAACTGTGTTGGCTTTATCCTAGTATATAGTGGTTGTGTGTATGCACAACATTTTGCATAACTAATTTGTCAGGCTAATGCGTTTTAAGTCTTTCATTTTTTTTATTGGAAACCTTTGTAAATCAGATATAACACATTTGTTTTATTTCAGGCCTTTTCTGATCTAAGTGATGCTGCTCGCACAATTGTTCTCACATCAGGTACCCTGTCTCCGATGGACTCTTTCTCTTCTGAACTAGGTGTAAAGTTTTCTATCCAGCTGGAGGCAAACCATGTTATTCATAAATCCCAGGTGAACAACTTTCCTTTTACCTTGCTTGTTAGTATGGTATGAATTTGTTCATGCACAATATTTTTAGACTAGATGCTGCACAAGCGATAAATCCATTATATATGGATGAGGTTTAAAAACACTACTTGTAGTGTGTATGTATGTATGTTGATATGTATTAATCCTCACCAGAATTCATTAACCCATCCAGGATTTAGAAAAACACAGAGAGAACCGTGTGTTAAAGGTGCTTTAGTGTTTAGAATATATCCGATAAAGAATAGAAAGACTGCTTCAACATTCTTGTGGGGATCCCTCACACCAACATCAAAATATGGAAACCAAAGAAAAGGAAGAAGAGCCAAAGACAATTCACCTGTAGGAGAGGAGCATATAGTGATATTGTGGACACCTACCCTGTATAAGGGTCGTCTGATCCTGACTTTATGATGATATCACTTTAATTTCAGCATATAAATAGAAAGGGGGGAAAACACATAAAAGGGGTAAATCTGTATAATTGTTTATTGCTATGAAGTAATTAAGCAAAATTTCAACTCACTTAGTACAGAGCCTGGGATAGGATTGGCTCAGATCACTTTCGCTTTAGTACCGTCTGGTGGTACTGTCTCCTTTAGGAATGTTGGTAATTTTCCTCAGAAAATGGAGATATAAGAGTGGTACAATAGAGAGTAATATAGTGTAGTACTCTTGAGTTTAAGGTGAGTATACTGTAACTTTAAATGAGTGGTCACCTTATTTAGAGCCCAGGTACCTGACTCTTGGTTGATCAGCTTGGGTGTCAATAAAGGGGACACCTTCCCCCCTTGGAGCAGGTTGATGAGGACCAAGAGTGGGCATAGATAAAAATAAAATGTATTCTATCAATGTAACAATTAAAATATAAAATAAATCTATATAGATAACAAAATCAAATGAAAAACGTCCAGCTGTTTGACATTTTTTATTTGAATTTATTTGTTATCTATATAGATTTATTTTGTATTTTAATTGTTACATTGATAGAATACATTTTATGTCTTTTCCCCCCTTTCTATTTATATGCTGAAATTAAAGTGATATCATCCTAAAGTCAGGATCTGATGACCCTTATACAGGGTAGGTGTCTACAATATCACTGTATGCTCCACTCATACAGGTGAATTGCCTTTGGCTCTTCTTCCTTTTCTTTGGTTTCCATCCAGGATTTACCCTTGGAGTC